CAACCCGATATTACCCAAACCTGCCTTGTTATCCAACACCATATAACCCTACCCTACCCTAATACCCAACCCCATTGTATCCAACACCCTATAACCCAACCCTACCCTACTACCCAACCACATTGTATCCAAAACCCTATAACCCTACCCTGCTACCCAACCCCATTGTATCCAACACCATATAACCCAACCCTACCCTGCTACCCAACCACATTGTATCCAACACCATATAACCCAACCCTACCCTGCTACCCAACCCCATTGTATCCAACACCATATAACCCTACCCTACCCTAATACCCAACCCCATTGTATCAAAAACCCTATAACCCTACCCTGCTACCCAACCCCATTGTATCCAACACCATATAACCCAACCCTACCCTGCTACCCAACCCCAATGTATCCAACACCATATAACCCAACCCTACCCTGCTACCCAACCCCATTGTATCCAACACCATATAACCCAACCCTACCCTGCTACCCAACCCCATTGTATCCAACACCATATAACCCAACCCTACCCTGCTACCTGACCCCATTGTATCCAACACCATATAACCCAACCCTACCCTGCTACCTCCAACCCCATTGTATCCAACACCCTATAACCCAACCCCACCCTAATACCCAACCCCATTGTATCCAACACCCTATAACCCAACCCTACCCTACTACCCAACCACATTGTATCCAACACCATATAACCCTACCCTACCCTGCTACCCAACCCCATTGTATCCAACACCCTATAACCCAACCCTACCCTGCTACCCAACCCCATTGTATCCAACCCCATATAACCCAACCCTACCCTGCTACCCAACCCCATTGTATCCAACCCCATATAACCCAACCCCACCCTGCTACCCAACCCCATTGTATCCAACACCCTATAACCCAACCCTACCCTGCTACCCAACCCCATTGTATCCAACACCATATAACCCAACCCTACCTTGCTACCCAACCCATTGTATCCAACACCATATAACCCAACCCTACCCTGCTACCCAACCCCATTGCATCAAGCCCAACCCAGGAGCCAAACCTCACTGTACCCAACCCTACCCTGGCTCCAAACCCTTGTATTACCCAACACTACCTGATATCCTTTTCAAAAGTTAGTACAAAATGTCTCAAGGGGAAATATTGTACAGGAGCCCTGGTAAAAGGTATTTATATAAACAGATAACACGATCTGATCAAGCATACACTGAAGCTGACTGAAGTTCTAATTTTATTCAGACATACATAAGTAAGAAGGAAGGCATGCAGATTCAGAAAGAAATGGGAACATTTTCAACTTGTAGTGCAACATGGCGTTTATTGTCTTGCATCATCAAACACGGAGTTCGGTGGTCTGATGGCCACCAAGTCCTACCCAAGTACCCAGGTCACCTGTCCCAGTCCAAACACTTTGATATGCGGGGGATAGTTGGACTGGAGTTAGGAAATGATTGATCCCATCTTGGGAATATTTAATGACATTTGCAGCAGAATATCCGCCCACGAACAGATATAACCTAAGATCTATATTAAACCCAAGTTTATAGCTCATTTAGATATGGTTGAATGTCAACAGTTGAGATTTTCTTGCCAAATCAGGACTGAATTAAAGTTCATGTTATATTTAGCTCTGTTTGACCGAGCGCCATCTTGACCGTCCAACAATGGAAGAAAGGGATCGGACACGATGCTGTCTGATTCCCGTACCTCTCCTCCCTCTCACTTCCCTGATTTCAGCTAGTTTCTGTTTGTGATTAATGAAATAGTAGTGTGAAGATTAAATGATAAATTATTCATAATCTGGGCTGAACCTGTGTTTGTCTGAGCCCTGATTGAGGACACTTTTCGAGTGATCTGTCTGACATGCTGTATACCGCTGACAATTTGATTTTTTGACTGAAAGAATTTCCCTGAATTGATGGAACTGCCGTGATGGACAATTTAAAAATGAGCTGAGTGAAGTACTTAGGGATGATGGATGTTGAATGTTTGAAAAAGTGAACAGATTGATGATGTGTGGTTGATGAATGATGTTAATATTTGATGTGTGATGTTAATGTGAGATGTTTTGAGGTATGAACAAATGGGGGCCGTTAATGTGATAGGCGCTGGAGTCTTCCCAACTCACCAGACACCAGAGTTGCCAACATGGGAAGGTGGTTACGTATTCAGGACAGACTCACAGATCCAGTTGTAAGGGGTTTGATAGATCTTAGCTCCGGACGTTCTCGTATTGATTTGGGCCAATATTGACGACATGAGAATTTACAAGAAAGAAGTAGCCATTTCTAACAGATCTGTGTTGGGGACATGTTTGACTTCCATTAAGATTTGATTGCGGGGTTCGGTCTGGTTTTGCTTTTTGTTTAATGCCACACTCAGTTTTCCAGCTGTCTGTAAATAATTGAGTCTGGAATGACAATCTAGTGATCAACAGTATGAGCATCAGTGTACACGGTTGGTATACAATGACATGTGTGATCCTAGACAGTGAGCCTGACCACCTGATCCCATTAGTTGTCTCCTATGACAAGCATGGATTGCTGAAAACGAATTCTAACGCGGATCTTCACGGGTATATTTCTAAACTGCCATCAGTCTCGGACGTTGGGGTAACCTAGTAGGTAAAGCGTTCGCTCTTCACGCTGAAGGACCTGGTTCGATTCCCCACATGGGTAAAATGTGTGAAGCCCATTTCTGGTGTCCCCTGCCGTGATATTGCTGGAATATTGCTAAAAGCGGCGTAAAATCAAACTCACTCACTCACTCATTCTGACACAAGCAGACACATATGCACACACGTACACACATGCATACACGCATACATACACATTGTTGTTCAACAAAAATAATCTTGATTGCAACTTTCAACCCCATTTACCTCACATCTTAATATTTCAATATTTAACTGAAATGCTGTTCAAAGTTTGAACCCAGCACACTCAGTTTTGATAAAAAACAAATTCCCAATTGTTCACTGACTCGTAAAGTAATGAGCGGTTTCAATCATCAGCTTGCAACGCACATGAACGATTGCGATAATTACTGCTGGTTTGGAATTACAATTTGGATTGTAATAGTTGTTCTACAGTTGGCCTGCTTTTAACATAGATTTCTAAAAGAAGGAATTAGGGTGTTTTTGCTTCAGAACTATTAACCATGTGATACTTTTTAATGCACATTGTCATTATAAATCATGTTTATAAATGCATGTAATCATTGTGTCGGTTTTGTATGACAATGTTGTAAGAATTATCACATTATGAAACAATTTTTAATATGTTTGTATCCATAACATTAACGGACCCCCACAACATATCAACGCACATTTACGGACACGGCATAAACACATTAATAGTCCGTCCACAACCCCTCAGTCACCGATCTCCAAACAGTATGTGCTGATTAATCTGCAGTGTCACATGACCCAAGGTCAGAAGTCATACAGGTCAGTGATTGGTCAGATCGAGTCAGTGACCAGAGGCTGTGGAGTGGTTGTGATGGACAGGCCTTGTCCAAGGGTCGGTGTGAGTTGGTTTGTGCTTCATCCACTTGTGGAAATGATTGAGTGAATGAATCAGCCGACATCACTATCACAATGCAATCTTAGTGCTAAGGGGCAGTGCAGTAGCCCAGCAGATCAAGTGGTTGCTTGTCACACAAATTACAGTGTTTGGTACATTAGTAGACTTACACTTAGTCTCTGAATATATATTATTTTGATATATTAATTTTTAATTGAAAAGGAGCCCCAGGAAGCCCAGAGATTCAGAACCTGAACCTGAGGAAATGTAGACTTGCTTTATTTAGGGCTTTAGCATTGCAGAGAGGGCTTGGCAGTGGGGAAAATAATGTGGTTCAGGGACTGTGGGACAGACTATTAAGTACATCAGCTGTTGATATACTCAAGGTGGAAAATAAGCAGACACATTGCAAATATTTGTATATTTTCGGATTAGTTAACTTTCATATCAAGAATGTTGCTAAGTGAACATTTCTGGTTTGAATTTTTATGGGGTGCTTCTTAATCATGGTCTGACTTCTTCAGGGTTCAGGGGCGGTGGGGTAGCCTAATGGTTCAAGCGTTGGCTCGTCACACCGAAGGCCCGGGTTCGAATCCCCACATGGGTACAATGTGTGAAGCCCATTTCTGGTGTCCCCCGCCGTGATGTTGCTGGAATATTGCTCAAAGCGGCGTAAAACCAAACTCAGTCAGTCAGTCAAACACAATCACATGGTTAAAGGTAGCCTGACGATGCAACAGTGGATGTTACATTACCTGTCAGGGGTACTCAATATTTTGATGAACTTCTGCAATAACTACAATCCTTTCACAGCAAAGCCACTTTGGGAGTGACCAATACGAGGTGATCTTGAGCAGCTGCTAGTTTCTTTTCTCTTCCTCCAGTTATAAAAAGAATAAATTTGTTGATAACGCTTTGCACTTAATTCACACCTGAACTATATGGAAATGATGGCATGTAGGTTTCATGCTATCATTTCCTTGTAGTTCAGGTGTTGTATCATGAGAAGTTAAAGTTTTTTTGTGGAGCATCTGCAGTTGCTCGAAGTCCACAGGTGTAGTTGATGATTAGAAGGATGAGCGGGTTTGGTTTGGTGATATCTAAGTGTAGCATTGCATGAGATACCAAACATGAACTTTCAATATATTGTACTCATTTGAGGAATCAAACCCAGACCTTCAGCATCCCAACCAAATGCTTTACCCACAAGGCCACCCAGCCACCCAATTGGAGGAGAGTGCTAGTTGACATGAAATATTTCTATTTCAGAAAATAATATTTTAATATTTTAATAACATTATCAAGTTTCAGGATGGTGTGTTCCTGGGAATCAATAACAGATCCGCGAAAGCATAATGTTGTTGTTTATGTCTTCCAGCGATATGGAGTCATATACCATGTTTAAACAGAGAATAACGATACATATTCCCGCACCATGTTCACACTGATTCTGTCTGTTTCCAGCTTTATGACAAGATCAACACGAAGTCACTCAGTCCCACACGTCGACCATCTGAAGCAGTACCTCGAGCCAAGGAGGTAAGGGACATGGTAAATAACACTTTCATTGCTTAGCACGACCTTCTACAGCAGTAGCTAGAACATATAGATACGTTAGTATTAACTATGGCATCAGTTGATAGAGTAAGCTGGCTGCCCCAGTCTCCTGTAGTATTTTTGTGTGTTCATTGGACAGAGATGAAGATCTTGTGTCTCTAGAGCTGTTGTATTGGCACCTGTCAAGGTAATCGGTCTTCATTTGTGCAGTAATGAAGTAGTTCTTGGGCCACCCTGACCATCACCAGGAACTGTTCTAATGGAACCTGTCTGGGAATCTTCTTGGATTCTTGCGTGATCTAGATCTTTGGCCACCCTCACCATCACCCAGATCTGTTCTAGTGGAACCTGTCTGGGAATCTTCCTGGATTCTTGCATGATATAGATTTTGGGCCACCCTGACCATCACCAGCAACTGTTCTAGTGGAACCTGTCTGGGAATCTTCCTGGATTCTTGCATGATGTGGATCTTGGGCCACCCTGACCATCACCAGGAACTGTTCTAGTGGAACCTGTCTGGGAATCTTCCTGGATTCTTGCATGATATAGATTTTGGGCCACCCTGACCATCACCAGCAACTGTTCTAGTGGAACCTGTCTGGGAATCTTCCTGGATTCTTGCATGATGTAGTTCTTGGGCCACCCTGACCATCACCAGCAACTGTTCTAGTGGAACCTGTTTGGGAATCTTCCTGGATTCTTGCATGATGTAGTTCTTGGGCCACCCTGACCATCACCAGGAACTGTTCTAGTGGAACCTGTCTGGGAATCTTCCTGGATTCTTGCATGATGTAGATCTTGGGCCACCCTGACCATAACCAGCAACTGTTCTAGTGGAACCTGTCTGGGAATCTTCCTGGATTCTTGCATGATGTAGTTCTTGGGCCACCCTGACGATCAACAGGAACTGTTCTAGTGGAACCTGTTTGGGAATCTTCCTGGATTCTTGCATGATGTAGATCTTGGGCCACCCTGACCATCACCAGGAACTGTTCTAGTGGAACCTGTCTTGGAATCTTCCTGGATACTTGCATGATGTGGATCTTGGGCCACCCTGACCATCACCAGGAACTGTTCTAGTGGAACCTGTCTGGGAATCTTTCTGGATTCTTGCATGATGTAGATATTGGGCCATCTTGACTGTCACTAGCAACTGTAGACTAACGCTTAGTCTCTGAATATATATTATTTTGATAGTAACAAACAAGCCAATTTAAATTGAAAAGGAGACCAGAGATTCAGAACCTGAGGAAATCTAAACTTGCTTTAATTAGGGCTTGGCAGTAGGGAAAATAATGTGATTGAGTTTAGTTTTATGCCACACTCAGCAATATTCCAGCTATATGGCAGTGGTCTGTAAATAATTGAGTCTGGACCAGACAATCCAGTGAACAACAGCATGAGCATCGACGTACACAATTGGGAACCGATGACAGGTGTCAACCAAGTGAGCGAGCCTGACCACCCGATCTTGTTAGTCACCTCCTACCACAAGCATGGGCTACTGAAGATCAATTCTAACCCGGATCTTCACGGGTCCGTCCAGTTACGTAAGGTTACCGTCTGTATACCATTGTGCCACTTGCACATGAGAAGAAAAGTGTGTAATCTGGTGAACCTACTTGGTTGAATAACCTTCAAGCTCGTTAATGAATGACCTCTCACCACATGCCATCTTAGCTCTAAGACTTATTGCCTGTATTTTTATCCCCGCTTGGCAATACATGCTGTTTTGGTGCCTTTTGGTAGTTTTGGGGGTATTAAACTGAAATGGACTCTTTTCCAGAGCAGAACTGTAAAACCGTCCTTCACTCCATAGATTGGTCTGGTGGTGTACTGGTGCCTTTTGGTAGTTTGGGAATTCTCAATACTCTCCTTCCACTTTTCTATATACACACCTAAATATTTCTATATACACACCTAAATATTTGACATAATCATAACTCGTAGACATAATCATGAAGAGTATTTTGCCATTCCGGGGGATATTGATGACTTTGTCTTCTTGTTATAACTGGATTATTGAACCTCACTCACTCACTCACCATGAAAATCACCTGCCCACTCACTCTAGTGGTGTTCTCTAACTACAAGTAAATGATTTCTTATTTCTCAAATGTTTTTAATATGTTTTGATGTCCCAATATATCCACACCCTGCCTTCCACCCACACAGTAAACACCACCTGATACATCACTGTCGACACAAACAGCCAAGAATTTCGATTGCCTGTTGAGAGGTCAGCAGGAAGATAGCATTTCCAAGTTATCAGCCATGTATAATGTCTTTGCGATTTGCTTCCACCACCACACCGATATATCACGGCAAGTGGACATTGGTGCCATTACCCACTCCGCCTCGCACCAAACAAAGTGGCAGCAGAAACAGTTGGATACACCCCGCAAAACCACATTATTTTGGTGTCAGCCCAGCTCCATTGCTTAATTATTTCTATGATAATCAATAATGATGGCGAGCTACTTGGCGGCAGTGGATGCAATATCTTAGTGAGGTGTTGCCCTGCGACAGAAAATAATTTCCATGCTTGATCTTGAAGCAAAGGAAACAGTTCCATCGGAATCTGAAAACTCTTAAGGTATTGCTACATCACAGGATGGTCATTCGTGACCAGAAGATAAAGGAATGGGTGTTTAATTACAAACGATGGAAAAGACAGGGAAATGTCTTTGAACATAAACACATTCTTCTTATTCTTTAAGACATAACATTAGGGGTGTTGTTTCCATACAGTTTGCAGGAGAAGGTTGAGTTTTTCTATGAAATAGAGATTTCTTTTACAAGTTTCCATCATGTTGTAGAAGTCAAACCTTCTTTTATTGAAAAGAAAATGTTAAAAGGAGTTTACAATTTTATGTCTGAAAAGTAAATTTTGGGCTGGCCATTTTTAAAAATGAAATTATTATTGAGGTAAAAGTCTTCTTCACCCACCTTATGTTTAATGATCTCTTAAGTCTGGCATTGGGACTTGGGTGGCTCGACCGCTTCCTTGGTGTAGTGGTTAGAGCGTCCGCCCGGGAGAGCGGAAGGTCGCGGGTTCGATCCCCGACCGCGTCATACCAAAAGACGTTAAAATATGGTACTAGTTGGTCCCTGTCTGGCGCTCGGCATTAATGGGTACAGCAAGGACTGGTCGGCTCGGAGTCAGTTCAATGTGTCTGAGTGGGGTATTCATGCTTCACTGCGGCATGGTATCTCAGTGGGCTAGCACTATACAACCAGCTTAAGTCTGGGCTAGTACAAGCAGCCACACACACATACACACGCATGCACGTCGTCATATGAGCGAAATATTCTCAAGCACGACGTAAAACGCAATTTCACCTCACCTCACCTCACTTGGGTGGCTCAGTTGATGCAAGTTTGATGTGCAGAGTTGCGCCCCTTGGGCATCCCAGAGATCTTGTGAGTTTGAATCCTGTTTTGTCCTGACGCTGTCTTTGGTATGTCAGCAAGTTATTGTGGGTTTCAGTAAAATGGTAAACATCGGGCCCTGCATCTCATCAGGCTTTCCTCCTATGTCATGCTGACATTCTGTGAAATATGGATACTGTTCAACATAGCCATAAACCCAACTTACTCAATTCAGTTAATGGCAGCTGCACTGTGAATGTCATGTTATTTCATTGTTAGTTGGCAAACACTCATGCAGAATAACACAATATTCAGTTAAAAAGTTTCATAAATTTAAAATATCTTCACTACATGTTCAACAATGGTCAAAGTTCAGTACTGATAAGGATGGCTAAACTAACCCCACATCGTAATCTTCTTCACAAAGTTCCTGCTCAATTTATGAATTTGAAGGAAGAAAAAGCTTAATTCCTCAGCTAATAAAATATTCTACATATAAATCTGAACTGGAATGAACCTCGCATTCTAAACAAATGTCAGTTCTTAGAGTTCCAGGAATAGTAATACTGATAATCTTCCATGTTTGAAGAATATTATAGAACAAAAACTAAACTCTTCAGTTCTTGTCACAAGTCACAAACATCTATAAATGAACACATCTTCATTCAGTTCCCCCCAATCTGGGATTTGTAAATTCTGGAAAGAATTATTTTTTAGATTTGAATTACATTTCTTTTAGATAAAATTTTCTTCACATCAAGTGACTTACAAAGTTGATATATTCATGATGATGTCACAAGTGAAAATGTCAATATTTTAAGATCGCAATGTGGCATACATTCACAAAAAAGGCAAATGTCATATATATTTTGTATGTTTTTTGCATGACGTTCAAGGTCTTTCTCAGAAAAAGTCATATCACTGAGGTAGAATAAAAGTAGTTCTGGCACTTGAGCGAAATATCTTTTTTTAAATTTTCAGATATAGTATTTCATCATTAAATATATAAAAAAGTGTTGTTAGTTTGGCGGGAATCAGCAGATCTGGACATACTCTGGAACATAATGAATACTTTGTGGATGTGAATGTTGAAGTGCTTCCTCCAGGGAGAATCTGAGAGCTGGATTCATCATAAAGTAGATGAATTCATCTCAGGATTCCCATATATCATGTTCTATCTAATTAGTTCTCTCTCCATCATTGCCAGTTTCAATATATTCTGTTTTTGTCTCACTGAAGCAGTGGTTTGCAGGCCAGGAAATCCTATATGAGTGTTGTCATTTTGTGCGAGAGGTTTTTGTCTTTCTTGAAGAGACGGTGCTAATTGAGTTGTGCTTGTAAACCCAACAGTACGTAGTACAGTGTTGACGTCCTTGAGCATGCCAGGATCTGCTTATTGTGGTGTGCCAGGATCTGCTGTTACTGGCATCCTCTGATCTTTGGTCTGTCAACTAAAAGGAAAGGTTGTCATTGATCAGATATTCTGGTATAGACATATTGACTCAAATGTATCATAAAGTCTTAATTTATCAACTGATGAATTTTTTTATTATTCTCTATGTGTATACATAATAACAGCCTTTACACACATCTGTAATTACTCAACTTAATGCTAAGTATATTTTGGGGGATTTAAGTTTGAATGAGACACAGAGTGATGATAGAGAAAGGTTGTTTGAATCTAAGTCTTCTTTCACATAAACAGACTTGACTTCTCGGGGACCTTTGTCTCACCTTATGTCTTCTGATATTTCCGGTATCAGCCCTCATTAATAAAAGTTTAAAATATTCCAAATGCTATGTTAAGAGTTAGATTCTATTTATCATCCAAAAATAATGTTTCCAACTTTATTCAGTCGGTAAACAGCTATGTCCAGTGTCTTGAGTGTTTAAAATACTACTGACCAGGGCCTAGATTATCGAAGCGCTCCTAGTGTTAACATGGTTGTACGTGCTATACATTAACATTAACTTACGACTATCTTAGTGCTAAGAGAGCTTCGGAAATCTAGGCCCTGCTAGTGACAGGGAGATTAGTAATGTCGTTTGACTGTGATGTCATGGTAACTGATGATGTCACAATGGGCTGCAATGCATTGTGATGCAGTTACATTAAACTACATATCTCCTGGCAGCTTTTGTTTCATCTCACTGAGGGATATTCTTTGTGGAAGTAATTTTGTGGAAAATGGATATATGTGTTGTGTCCCTGTTGTCTAGACTAGGGGATTTTATGACCCTTCACTCACTTGCTACAGCTGAAGACACAACTCAATGTGTGAACATGTCTATTTGAGGTGTTAAACTCGGTGTCCTATTTAAGTATCTATGTTGTTTCATACTAAGTATTGTGTTATTTCCTAAAAATAGTAGAATGGAGATCAATTCTGGACGTGAATCTCCTCAAGGACTTAGGTTTGGTATGCTGGGAACACATTTAACTAGAAATCCTCATTGGGAGACAAGGTTGGGAGACACAGTGACACTCAGCAGCTGTTTCATGAAGGGTAACAGACTAGTCATTGATCACAGTTGGATAAGGGTCAGAGTTGTTAGGTGACCAAATGTAATGAAAATAATGACCTACCCATCTTTGGATGCCATTCCCCAAGTACAGGTAAATGTTTCCTGACTCACGCAGAAGGGCACAAAAGCTTACAGTATGTTATCTGGAAGTATCCATGGTTACATGACTCTTTCCCAGTACGTGTATTATTTTGCAACAATCTAACCCTAGAGACTGCCAAATATTTGGTTGACCCTCCCTGATTCCTGACCCAGTCACACCTTTCATAAATGGTGAATCCCAAATATTGCTTATTCATTAATCCTGTCAAACCTTTCTCATTTCATTTTATTCTTACAAGAGAAACCCCACCCCCACCCCCAACTTTTCACCAAATTCTTATAAGATCTTGAACAGAGTAATAGTTGTTCCGACTCGTTTATAACATAACAATTGTTCAACCAAATACGCTGACAATGCATAAATGAATCGGATCGGACCACCTGTCTACTACAGGAATTAGTTGCAGGGAAAGATTACTGTCTAGACATAAACAACTGACACTAGATAGTCCAGGTCTGGCTTAAAATAAAGGATTTTCTTGTTTCATCAATTCAAATCGGAAACTATGTGATAAAAATCTTGACAGGTAGGATTGTGTATCACAACGAGTCTAGACATTTTTATTTTGTGGTAACAGAATATAAGAACACTTGAGAATCACTTGTAGAGGGCAGCGTTTTGATACATCTCTTGCAAGGTCTGTGTTTTAGTACTGGACTAAAATAACCCTTAGAGATTGTTCTGTACAGGAGGACCCTTATCACTGAGGGGATGCTATTTTGAAATTTCTGTGAAAGTCCAGCCGCCCTGTGCACTGTGTTTGTGCTGATCTCACAGTTTTGCGGATTAACATTCATCAGTTTGAAGCAGTACGTGTGTTTGCATATAGTGGAAGGTATAAATGTTGGAAGATCTCTAATACCATTTCAACCAGAAATAGGGGCGGTGGGGTAGTCTAGTGTTTAAAGCGTTGGCTCGTCACGCCGAAGACCCGGGTTTGAATCCCCACATGGGTACATTGTGTGAAGCCCATTTCTGGTGTCCCCCGCCATGATGTTGCTGGAATATTGCTAAAAGCGGCGTAAAACCAAACTCAGTCGGTCAGTCAGTCAACCAAAATTAAATCACCTTCGTTGCGCTTAATGTTGTTTAATGAATCCTAACAACATTACTCGAGCTTGTAAATATTTGAGTCAACACAAATCAGTCACTCAAAAATCAAAAGCAATAATTGATTCAGTTTGCACAAAAAGTAGTCCCATGTAGATGAAGGAACCTATGTCGTTTTAATGGAAATTGGCTATTGAATAAAATTCACTTAAGATCTTTGCAGAGTTGCCTCCCTTGGGCACAACAGAAACCTATGATCCTGGGTTCAAACCTTGGTTCAGTCCAATTTTGTTTCTAGGTTTGATTCCTCTGTACCCATCCTCATGTGTTTGACCAAAATGTTAAACTTTTGATACAAGCATCACTTCTGTCTTTCCTCCACAATCAAACCGACCCCCTCACTCATGCTGTTCTAAGTGAGCTTTTGTTCAAAGTTGTGTTAAACCAACTCACTATCTTTGCCATTAATCTCCAAGCAGTTGATGTTACACTTTTTGTCAACAATACAGTTTATATAGGCAGCATTAGCATTTACTAGTTACAATCTTGTGTGTTGGGAACAATGTCTTGTCTTAATCGTAATTTCTTTTAAACTGATGTACACTGTGTCTCAGCATCACATTGCTAGAAACATCCTTTTTTTGGAAACTGTATGGATTTAGTACATCCCCAGCAGCCTGTGCCGGTCAACTTGGCAAGGGATGTAACTTAACGGTCAGATGGTCAGACTTGGTGGGCTGGTTGCAGGTGTGTCGTCGTCCTCCGATGAAGTATGGCGATGCTCATAATATCAGTCACTAGATCGTCTGGGAAGGCCCTGATTGTTTATAGGCAACCATGATATGGCTGGAATATTTTGGAGTGATCATTACTGAACAAGACTGACTGAAACATATTTCAGCTGTACTGCAGTTTGTGTCAGTAAGGGAGAAGTCCCTTGACTGAAGTCTATATGACTACAGTGTTTCAAATGGAGTCGAACCAGACATATCCATTCTTGGCTCCATGTTCTTGGAGATATTTCATGAATGCTTCCAGAAATTCCTGAGTTTCAATTTGCTAGAGCTATATATTTGTTAAATATATTGCATTTGCCAAAATAAGCTCCTATTTAGTTAGAGACTTCATGGTGGGTGGATACTTATTAAACTGTGCCTAAATTTGTTGTCGATGATCTGGCAGAAGTAAACAAACTTTGTTCAAACATTGATAAAGCTAAACTGTGGGGTTTTTTGCTAATATATGTAAGGCAAACTAAGAGCTATATTGAATACAGTATTAGTTGACTCTATGAAGTCTTTTATGAATGCTTCTGGCTAAGCCCATTAGTGCTTAGTGGGTAAGGGCATGTGATACATTATATACAGTATGTGTTAACTCATTGAAATATTTTATGAGTGCTTCTGTCTAAACCAAGTTTTCTCAATGGGCCATGTGAGGTGAAGTGAAATGGGGTTTAACGTCACACTTAAGAATATTTGGCTCATATGACAACATGCATGTGTATGTATTTGTGGCTGCTTGTACAAGCCCAGACTTAAGCCGTTTTTTATAGTGCTAGCACACTAAGATACCATATGCCACAGTTAAGCATGAATACTACTCAGACACATTATACTCACTCCGAGCCGACCAGTACCATATTTAAACGTCTTTTGGTATGATGCGTCCGAGGATCAAACCCGCGACCTTCCGCTGTCGGGGGGATGCTCTAACCACTGCACCACGGAGGCGATCGCCAGTGCATGTAAGACATTGATCACAGTAGTGCATGTAAGACATTGATCACAGTATGAGGTGTAACAGTGGAGTATTTTATGAGTGCTTCTAGCTAAACCAAGTTTTTCTCAATGGGCCAGTACGTTAGACATTGAAGACAGTATGAGGTGTAACAGTGGAGTATTTTATGAGTGCTTCTAGCTAAACCAAGTTTTTCTCAATGGGCCAGTACGTTAGACATTGAGGACAGTATGAGGTGTAACAGTGGAGTATTTTATGAGTGCTTCTAGCTAAACCAATGTTTTCTTATTGGGCAAGTGCATGTAAGACATTGATCACAGTATGAAGTGTAACAATGAAGTATTTTATGAGAGCTTCTAGCTAAGATACTGTTTGCTGTTCTAGGTGCTCCACTTGCTGCAGGACTCCTCCGACACCTATGCATCAGAATGTAATGAATTGAAACAGCTGCTGCACCAACCACACCTAATGGTGAGTACACAGCCAATCACAGGCAGCCATAGTTTGATTGACAGATACCTTTATCCAATCACACAGAGTTTCAAAATGATTGACATTCACACATATCAAAGACTCAATTTGTGGATAACAATTTCATATTATTCTGTAATAGCTTCCCAATCACTGTCTTCAGGGAGACGTGGCAATCAAAACCATCAACTGTATCAGCGAAGTAGGGAGAACGATTTTATGGTATAATACAGAAATTGTTATCCGTAAAATGTGTCTACTTTGTCATCCATCAACTTCCAAGAAATGCTGATTAAGCACTTCTTGCAAACATATGACTCAGAGAGTGTCTGGGACAGACTATAATGGAACACGCTACAATAAGGATGGCCATGCTGCCGGGTGTGTTAAAACAAATGGATCTTGTTTGCGCAGTGCTTTCTTTTCAGAAATAAGTTCCTGAGCTTCTTTGACACATCTCTGACTTCTTGTATTTATGGGGCGGTGAGGTAGCCAAGTGATGAAAGTGTTGGCTCATCACGCCGAAGACAAGGGGTTGATTCCCACATGAGTACATTGTGTCAATTCATGGTGTCCTCCTGCCATGATGCTGGAGAATTGATAAAAGCTCTCTGAAACCTTACTCATTCACTTGAGGACATGTGGTAGCCTTGTGGTTGAAGCGTTCGCTCGTCATGCCAAAAACACAGGTTCGATTCCCACATGGGTACAATGTGTGAAGCCCATTTCTGGTGTCCCCTCCCGTGATATTGCTGGAATATTGCTAAAAGCGGTGTAAAACCAAACTCACTCACTGACTTACTCATTCACTCACTCTCATACTCTGTGTTCTTGACTGACTGTCTGCATGTATGTGCCTATAGATTCAGTAGCATTCTGAAATTTTGCAAATGATTTCAGTTAAACTTGGGTTTCTTTTAAGTCTCATGTTAGTTTAATTAGTTTTACAGATTTCACAGAAGTCTAACCTAAATTTGAAAATTTATTGATACATGATAAAAATCTGTTTTCCATTTATAATATGTCTTAGATTGGGAGAAATTAATTTCAAATCCATGTGGATTACATTCTTTTTGTTTTCGTTTTTCCTCTTGCCATATCCATATTTACATATTTACAATATATGCTAGAAAATTTGAAAACAAAATACAGTAATTTTCTCCTTGATCAGTTTTTCTCTGTGCAGTCAGGCTTGTGTTTGTAAGACAACTGATTACAGTGTCTAGAGACCACTGAGGGGTGTGTGTATAGAATTAGTGGTAGGATAACAACACTTGAACAAGACACACATAAGATGAGTGGTACAGCTAGTATCACCTCCAGCACGCGATTGAAACATTCCTCACACCTGCTTCCCACTGTAATTTCTCTTCTACATGAAACATTCATTGTTTGACGAGTAGCCTGCAGCCCAGCTGTACACACACCACAAGTCAGTTGTGTCAAGTAGGAGAGTAAGCTGTTGATATCGACCAGCTAAAGTGTTTGTAAGACAACTGATTACAGAGTGTCTGGAGCCCACTGAGGGATGTGTGTATGGAATTAGTGGTAAGGATACCAACACCTGAACGAGACATACATGACATTAGTGCTACGGCTAGTATCACCAGCAGCATGCGATAGCAAGATTAGTGGTAGGAAAGCAGCTCCTGTTCGCGACGCAATCGTAAATCGTTCTGGCATCATGCCCCATGTGATTAGCATGGGTTGATGCTTCCAGACACTGAGAAATGTTGCTTATCAGAAATCGGCCATGAAGGTTCCAATTCTACAGACAGTCGACTGTTGTCATCTTTATATTTTTGTTGTCAAGAACAGCCAACCAATGTTCACATTGTGTGATATATTGTCATATCAATCTATTTTTGACAACATTCAGGGTATTAGTGTTGTTCATGCTGGTTTTGACAATGGACAATTTGTTGTATACAAACCTGACAAAATATCCCTTGAAAATGTCACCCCTGTGGGGATTTAAGTAGTGTTGAAGGTGAAAACAGACAAGGGGCACAGCTGCCCCAGGCAACAGAAGATCAATTCTGTATACAGAGTTGTGTCCCTTAGGATTGCCAGAAACTTTGGGTCATGTGACAGAGTAATCTGTCTTACAGACCCTGAAACATATATACCTAACACAGCCCATGCAAGTCTAGAATATGTGGCAAGATTACCACAGTTTCCGGCTGGAAGTCAAGAAAGTCTGTGGGCGCTTTTTTATTATACTTTATTAACATTATTTTGAATCCATTTTCTTCTGTAAAATATGTTCATTTCGAAGACCAGATGTTAGTCTAGGGTCAACCGGCACTATATCCATTGCTGGGGGATTTGGCAAACATGGTAGACGTCAAACACCATCATCACTTCAGGCTCTTGTCCACATTAAGCCAACATGTTATGATGATACTGCAGTTATGTTCAAAGGTGGGTATAACTAAGCTCACTCAAAACTATAAATGGTCAAGTTGTTACACACATGATTGGTCAGTGGATCATTCCTCTTGCAGTCAGCCATATCTTTGACCATAATGATATCACCAGAATAATTCTCACCCTGACGTGACATTCACTTCTGACCTTGAAGATAATTGAAATTGCTGTAAAGGTCAAAGCCGAGTTTTAGAAGACACCGAAATTCCTGAAATTGAGAAAAGCCAAGATCGATTCAACTTTAGCTCAAATCTCATAAATGATTGTTCTTACAAGATACAAGACGAAATATCAACCCAGCTTACATTTATTGCAGGTAACTCACATCCATGCCGGTGAGGGGCAGTGGGGTAGCCTAGTGGCTAAAGCGTTCTCTCGTCACGCCGAAGACCCGGGTTCGATTCACCACATGGGTAAAATGTGTGAAACCCATTTCTGGTGTCTCCCGACGTGATATTGCTGGAATATTGCTAAAAGCGGCGTAAAACTAAACTCACTCACTCACTCCAAGCCAGTGCAGTATGGTTGCTTGGTCTGGTTGTCCAATGTTGACCACAGTAGCCATGTAACTGTGAGCGAATAATGTGCAACACAAAACATTCGACAGAGCTTATATATGAAATATGGGTCTCAATTGAACCAATGCTGTATGTAAACTTACAATCTCAGTTATTTTACAAACCCATTATACCCCGGTATCTGCATTATGCCGCTCATTGTTAACAGTGAATCGTGAATGTTCCCTCACAACTGTGGAAAAAGAATGAATAGTTTATGTGCGTGTTCTGTAACCAGCAAGATGTATGGATCAGTAAAATTTTCATTTGGCTTTAAGCTTGGAAGAGTTGTCTCCCTTACTTCAAGATAATCAATGGTTTTCTAGGCGAGATTCATACATCTTTGTAGAAGTAGAGAGTACTTAGAACTGTGGGGCAGTAAAGGGCCATAACTCCTGTTGCTTTGGGTGCATTGGTCTGCTTTGACTGGAAGAGGTGGCCTGAGCACATGATTCTACTGTCATCTTCATATTCTTCTTCTCGTTTTTCAATACTTTTAAAGTTTTAAAATGTGCATAATTATGCATTGTAGATTTGTTAATACTGTCCTCAGTGTGTTTTGTATCTAACAGGAAGTGTTGACTTTCATATAAGATCAGTTTTTATGTCCTTGATTTTCAAAATTTTGATACTGCATATTTGCAAGTTACAGGAACATGATACATGAGGTTACAGGTACTGATGGATTTATTAATTCTTGTTATAATGAATTCATGCATTAATTAATCAGTATTTATTTCTTTAATCTCAAATAAGGCATTAAGTGACAGTAACGTCACAAGTTGATGACAGCCTTTCAGGAATGTGAGTGAGTATAGTTTTACGCTGCTTCGAATAATATTATAGCAATATCAGTAGTGGGTTTCCCACATTGTACCCATGTGGGGAATCGAACCCAGGTCATCGGCGTGATGAGCTAACACTTTAACCACTAGGCTACTTAACCGCCCCTTCAGGAATGTGTATAGTCTATATGTGTTGGGGATTGCAGTGTGCCTCCCCTTCCCACACACATTTCCCTCCCAGTCCTCCTGTCTCTCTCAATTTCCCCCCATGTCTGTTCGCCTAGTCTGTATTTGTTCACTTGATGGCTTGGATAATAGCTTCAGTCCCAAGGGTACCATGTCACTGGATGAAGAAGATAGTTTTGTAACATTTAGCGTCATTAAGAGTGGACTCCTGGTCTGGAATACTTCAATGTGTCAGACCCAGTTTGACAGAAATAGTCACTAAAACTCAGCTCGCTCCCAACCTTGCAGCAACTGGCTACTATTGGTGTTACAACTATTGATACTATCGACCAAAACTAGACCAAGTAGCTTTCAACTAATCCTATTGCCTTTCTTGGGAAAAACATACCCTCCAACACCCGTCCCTGTCTAGTTGGACATCTATTTTAATCTAACATCTATGAACAATTAAAACTTATAGTTTTTTAAAATCCTGATATTACTGGCTGATGATATTTTTTTTCTCCACTCCTCTCTGTTACTCTCCACTCCTCTCTGTTACTCTTGGTTTTCAAGAGTATGGTTCAGACTAATGACGTCTGCAGTCACTATCTGTTTTGACTGGGACAGCGCCCCCTGGTGACCTACTCACTTGTAACCTTTTCGCCAGTGGGAATATCGTGTTCAACTCCAACCTTCCGATCATTACACCAATTGTTGTGTTAATGATTGTGCGGTAAAACTGTCAACTGTTCCTTGTGAGCTACAGAATGTGCATTGTCAGAATGAGTCTGGGTTTATTGTTAGTAGAATTTGATATAGTACAAGTTATGAAAACATTTCTATAGTGCTTTGCACCAATGTCTGAACATATACTACTCACACTTTGCTAAGGATCACAAAAATTCACAACTTTACTTAAACATAGATTTATAATTTGAAATTCTATCCATTTAAAATTGGATAAATAATAATATGGTAAGCCCTCTTTAGGCAAGCAACCACTTTAATCTAACCATATGCACTTGATACATGAGTAACCATAAAAATGGTTTTCATGGCG